ATTGTGAGAAGAGGTCAGCATGAATACTTAAGATCTCCGGAAAATTCACTCCCTTTTTCATGACCGAGTACTTATGAGGTCCTAATAAAAACACACCTTCCTAGGGCCATTATGCCGTCATGATGTGCAATAAACTACAATTCTATTATGAATCATTTGCCAACTGTTTGGAGTACTAAATGCACTCCTGATCAGGGCAAGTTTATTTCATGTAATTATCTGACTGCTTTCATTGTCATCTAAGTGCAAGCTTTTAATCTATTAAAGTAATGACTTCATATTGACAATGGCCTCTTCATAACAATGAGGCCATTCAATCCTTCATTATTAGGAACATTTGCGTATCAATTCCAATTAGTCATTTATTATTATTTATCCATCCTGTATAAAAATAAACCTCATCTATCCTCATGTCCCAGTAATCAAACAAATCAAATCATTTTTGGCAAATGATTCATAATAGAATTGTAGTTTATTGCATATCATGACCGCATAATCGCCTTAGGAAGGTGTGTTTTTAATATGATGATTGAAGCGGTTGATAAAAATACAGCGTGCTTATGAAATCCTGAAAATTCATACAACTTTGATTTTAATGAGAGGCTACTGTGAGTTTCAAAAGTCGTGGGTTATCGGAGTGAGACTTTTCATACGTTGAAGGTCGATTATATAGATCTGAAAACGAATGAATAGTACAGAAAAAAGTTTTTTTTATTGTTCGCTTGCCCGAAAACACTTAAAATGTCAATAACAGTCCAGGGCCTCCAATTTTTCTAGCTACGAAGGAATTTTTTTTTTTCAAAATTTTCGGAAAAATATGTGGAATAACAGTTATGAGCTAGGTTTTTTTTAATTCGCCTCTTACATGGCTAAATTTACTTTTTTTGTATTTTTTTACACAAATAGTGAATTTTTTTATATGAAAAAAACCGAAATCAGTTGTGTAGGAGTCAAATTCCAAAAAACTGGCTCGTAATTATTGTTCCACACATTTTTCCGAAAATTTTGAAAAAAAAAAATATTTTGTAGCTCAAAAATTGGAGGACTGTTTTTAGCATTTTATGCGTTTTCGGGCAAACGAACAATAAAAAAAAAATTTTTTGCGCTAATTATTCGTTTTCAGATCTACATAATCGATTTTCAACGTATGAAAAGTCTCACTTCAATAACCCACGACTTTTAAAACTCATAGTATTCTCCCCTTAAGGAACTTTCGTCCGAAATTCCCAACATTGTTAACATAAAAGTCTCAATTGTTAAACTCCCAGGAGCAGTAGCTGAACGCTCAAACGAAACATCCGAGTTTTTTCTGATCTTGGGAAATGCGTATTACGGGCACATCAATTCATTCCGTTGAATTCGCTACAAAATTTCGTAACAAGAATCAATTGTAAGTAAATTCTTCAGATGTCTACAATAGTTCAGCTACTGGGACAGTGGACCTACCGGTGTATGAGAGTGCAACGATGGTTTTGTGGCAGCCGAGACCGTATCTGTAGTTATAATTCTCTCGTGATATCTATTCTCTCGTGATATCCTCGTGATATCTAACAAAAACCAAAAAACCGATATCCAAACTCTGTAGCGATATAATCCCCATCATCGATAGAAAAATTCCAATTCTTCCAATTTGGAAAGCAACATGACATGTATATACCATCATCCCGTAAAATGTAGTGTACAAATTCTCGACTGCACTGAGAAAAAAAAACTTTTGCCAACTACATTTACTTGCCACAAGTAAATGTATATAAATATCTGCATAAGACATGTGTGAATTTTCTTGTAGTTAGTAAATATGCTCGGCAAAAGAATTTTTTTGCTCAGTGTACCACTCAAATGTCAAAATAAAAGGAAAAATACATCCCAGAATTTCTCTGTTACTCAGAGTTACCGGGGAAGATAAACAGGGCGACTTTGCCAACGTGAATTTTTGTACCTATCGAAATGTCTCGATAGCAATATATACTAAACTAATCCTAAGACATCTAGCATTAAAGAAGATACTGGCAATAAACATGGTATTTATTTCGCATTCGAAATGTCACGTTTCTTCACCGTTTTCGTTGAGTTCATTTGGGAATCCCCGTCATGAGTGAGACGCTCGACTGAGGATATGACGCAAGTGAATGGTTATTATCCACAAACCGAATATCAATTCCCAACTAATTAATTTAACATCAACTCAAGGGTGTGACAACACTTTGACGATAACAGAATCAATGACTGTGTCATCACCGAGAATAAAACAGTATCACAACATTCTATGAAGAAAACAATTTTCTGAAGGGAGCGTTTATCAAATCAGTAATGCATGAGCCAAATTAGGTGAATTAGTCCCGTTCCTTGATTATTTCGTGAGGGTCATCTTTGGATCTTCCACTCGATCGGTCCAAATGTTCCTATTCGGAGGAAAAAACAAAAAAATTACTTTTACCGAGGAATTATTCACTTGGGAAAAGAATTATTTCAGGTGAGAAAAGCTCAAATTTGAAAAATGTGAAAAATAATGGGGAGTGTTCATTCAAGGTCATATGTAGCATGATCATCTCATAATTCAATATAATTGTAATATTTGGAAATGGATATGAACCACCGAGGAATGACTGGCCTGAAGGAACCCGCTCCTAAAAAAAAAATTCTTCTCAGCCTAGTAAAAAAAAATACTATTTTTCGTCAGAAGACATCGGGGATATTCATAAATCATAATTATCGTTAAATTTTGAAGCCGTCAATTAGTTAAGATCATTCTTAAACTTTTAATTATATAAGTAATCATCAATTTAAATATTTAAAGTCTGAATTATTTTATTAATCAACAATTTAGGTAGGAAGATTGAGGATTATTTGGTTAATCGAAAATCCCTTTTACGAAATTAGAATTATTTACTTAATGGCAAATTTACAGTCCCATATTATGAAATATTTAATCCAGTAGTAAAGTGGTGAATCGGTTTAAGCCTACTCAACTCCCAGTTGAGTTTTTGTTGAATAACTAGGAATTTAAGAAAAAAGATGGCAAAATTTTTGTCAGATCTTTTTCGATAGTCTTCACTTTTCTCTACAAAAAAGATTTCTAGGAAAATTTTGCTAACTCCTTTAGAATTTGAGATATTCATCGAGAATTGACGCTCGAATGGAATTGAGTTAAATCGTTTGACCACTTCACTACTGAATTCGTCATCAATTGGAAAGTTAAATTATTATACTATTTTTAAATTGTCATGACTATATTTAAACCTTTATAAATATGAGTCGGAAATCCTTTTAATATTGATGGCCATCCCTGGAAGACATTTACTTATTTTTTAGATCTATTTTTTTTAGATATATTTTTTAAATTTCAACTTATTTTTGAGATATTATGTCGATTTTTCGTTAGTGTGTCCGGTCAAGTCACTCTGAGAGTATTACCAAGCTCCCATTGCGTTTGATCGCAACTGTTGTCGGGTAAATTCACGCACTCCTCGGCCTTAACCTTTTTTTCTCGAGATCTTAATTTCGATTATGCTATTTTCGGAACCCTTCCTTAGAAGGGTTCTGAAATAAACTCCACGGCAAGCTCTATCATGGCCAAATCTTCAATGACGAAATTTCGGGCGATTTCGTCATTGAAACTTCACATTTTGATGATAATAATCAATGAAAACTGCAAATTTCAATTATTGTATTGCATTATTTCAAATGAAACATCCGAAGAAGTGTGGGGATGTCAAGATTTTCGGCAAAACTGAAATCTTGCTTTAAGAAAGTTAAAATGTTGATAAAATTTAATTACTTTTTTTTCAATACAAAGAACAATTCCTTCCCTTTATGACGAGCCTAAATTGAGCTCAATTGATAAATTTGTTTCTGAGTTATGAATAATTTTAAAAAGTCTAAAGTGTCCATTTTACCCCATCCTCCTCTATTTATCAAACTAATTTTAAAGTTGACTTAACTTGCCTCATTTCACTCGACGATAAAAACCCTCTGTTATGATATAAATCATCGATCATCTCATCAATCCACGAAAAAAACATTCAAATGTCATGACGCGTTATGGAGGGACTATGCATTTGCGTATATATTACCACACGAATATGCATCGCCACGAGGTTGATCACCAAGTTGCTGATGCAAATCTAATGGAATTGGGTCGTTATCCACTGTTAATACAAATCGAGTCAAAAATAACTCAAGTACTCACCCGACTCCTTTCCCTGTCTTCTATTTCATGCATTAATGATTCAGAGGATAAATCGGGAATTATGCAAGTGATAATCTCCAGATTGTTGCGTGACGGACGAGACAGGTGAAATTGATGTAGGATTGGCGCAGTCCAGTCAAGACATTCTACGCTACACTAAATTTTAGAGAAATGCTTCTCACGATTTCTCGTTTGGGCATTGGTATTGCATTCTTCTCAAAATCGGGAACTTGAGAATCGCTAGAAAAAAATCAGTAGTGAAGTGATCATAGGGTTTAAATCGATACCATTCTAGCGCCAGTTCTTGATGAATATCCGAGGGGGCTATTCACAGGCAAATTGGGTGACACCGCGATTACAAAATGTAATCGATTACCCAGGATTACAGGACTGATTACATTGATTACCATTGCCTATGTGATAACCGTGATTACCATGAGCACAGAATGTGATTACATGATTACAAATTATTTCGTCGATTACATTCTGTGATTACCAAACATCTGTAATCATTGAAATCACAAAAATGGCCAAAGAAATGAAGGAGGGGCGAGGATTCGAACAGAGGAAAGTGGTGAAGTGGTAAAACGGTTTAAGTTGACTTATCTGCCAGTTGAATTTTTGAGAAATATCTCCGAATATAAAGCAAATGGCGAAATTTTCGTTAAAATCTTTTTGGTAGCTTTCCATTCGCTCTACAAAAAAGGTTATAACAAAAATTTTGCTGTCTCCCTTAGATTCCGAGGTATTCATTGAAAACTGATCAATAGTCAAAATTGACTGGTACACTTTTACCAGTTCGCTACTGAATTGCACTGAGACAAAATCCATCTGTAAGTTCCCATGAGGGGCTCATTCGACCAGGAAATTTTTTATTTTTCATATATATATCTACATGAAAAATTACCAGTTGAATTATCAAAAATTATCAGTTGGATACCGTGTTGACTACATAAAATAACAGTCGAATAGTGGAATTCTATGGACTGAAATTTGGACGGGAAGAATTCTCTCCAAAAAATCAAGAATATTCTAGGATTTTCGATAAAGTTCCAGAATTTTCCAGAAAGCTCCAGAATTTTCTAGAAGTTTCAGTGCCTACTAAACTATCCACCGTAACCCAATAACTTATTTCCTAAAGCCGACAGGGGACTCTAAACTACGAACAGTAAAAATCCCATTGAAATCCATCATTTTTCCCTGAAGCGCAGCCAAAGAACGGGCAACAGATTTATTATACTCCAGAAAATTTAAAAAACCAAAAGATTAAGTGGCAAATGATAGCACTGTTAGCACCGCTGAGTCTGCAAACCAGGGGGAGATATAATGCGAGGTTACAAATGAAAAAAACTTTCTCGCGCCTAAAAAAGTCGGTCAATAGCGTGTGTGTATATCAACTCCAGAGATTGGTTGTCTCCGAGTTTACCCTCGATATATCCCATTATGACGCACTGCAATCCATTATTCCTTCCAAATATAGTTTTTCCTCACGACTATTGTGCCATATAAACCCCCATGCACTAATATCTTTATCACTTCGCTTTTTTGTTCCTCATATTGACAATACACTTGTGACTAAAAATAATTCTCCGCGATAATTATGTCCACGACGTCATCACATAATCGTGCGAGTACGAAAAAAAGGCTCGTTAGTCACTCAGTGCAAACTCAAGGGAGATTTTGAGTGGTCCTGAATGAGTGGAGCGACGATCAAGGAAACGTCTGTTGGGAGAACAAGTGAATAATTATTTGATCGAGATTTGCGTCATTGCACTGTTTACATGATTGTCTATTTTCAGTCGAGCACAAGACACTTGTTTTTACCCACTTAATTATCGGAAAAACGTTGTAATGTGCTTCATATTTTCGAAGGAAGATGGAAATTCCAGGCGTCACGAACAGCTGCATCTTGCTTGGTCAGAGCTGACAACACATCGACACCTGATGCAAATAATTCCAGAAATATTACGCTAATAAATCATCATGCACAACATTTCCACGAATAATTTGTACTTACATCCTGTTTTTATGTAATCGGTAATTGATTCCTTGATAGCCGCCATAGGCACTGCCATATTTAGCCTAGGATAGAGAGTCCTAGACGTTATAATATTGCACACAACCATTCCCAGTAATTCACCAGTTGTTGATCTCACAATTGGCCCACCGCTGGCACCACTTTGAACACAACAGGTGGTCTGTAGCATGCATGTCGATACCCTCGAGATATTTCCACGTGTTATTGTAGGAAGAGTTGAGGAGAAAAATGGAAATCCAGCGCTAACCACAGTCTCACCTGGATGAATATGAAAAATAGTGCAGTGGGATTAGGTCGTAATTGGTTGGAATTATCGCGTGAATACTGCCCACCTTTTTCTGCCGCTCCATCAGCTATCTCGAGGGCTCTCAGTGTGGGATCCATCGCTTGTGTGTCGACACTCAGAACGGCAACGTCATATGCCTGTCCTCGTGGTGTACGGTATACCAATGTCGCCCACACACCCGATATTGAGGATGAAGATTCTCGATTATTGTTGGTACGAAGGACAACCCTTATGCGCCTTTCAGGCGCCTGTAATTTTCAATTAATTAGGGGTAAGGGGGAGACGCAGACTTTATGGACAAAGAGTTTCTGGGATCTGCGCAATTTCAAATATTCTTTAGGGAAATTCAGGAGCGAAGTGGTCTTTAACGATTTCGTCTTTAACTGAGTTTTCCAGAAATATTTCCGACTTTAAGGAAGATAGAGAAATTTCCATAATAACCTTGTTTGAAATTCAGCTATTCAAACTAGTCAAACGGTCACCGGGCTCAACGAAAATCTCGAGAAACTTCGGGACCCTTCGGGGTCACGGTCAGCTACGAAGAAAATCGCCGAAAAAGTCAGTAGTATCGTTCTAGACACCGAGAGAGTCACTCTAATCACAGTATTGTATGGCCGTAACCGCTCAATCGAGTACATCACCGGAGTACATCAACGCGATATATTTGAGTCTAGCGCTTCGTACAGCGTATCTATTTAATTTAATTCAATTATCAATTAATTCCGAGTTAACTATCAATTATTTTGAGTCAATCATCAAGTTCAATATCGAGAGAATCTCAAGTGCAGTGCATTTTTCAAATCATCATTTAATTGACTTTGTCGAGCAACTCAACAGTGTAACATTATTAATTTATCAAGACGCGTGGGTTATTCCACAATAAAGTACATCAACAGTGTGGTTTTATAATTCCGCGTGTTTTTAATTTTCCACCTCCTTCCACAATTCCACTTTTCCCCAACCGGCACCCTCTCTCTACACTGTTAAAAATTTTCGTCTGAATTTTGCGTGTGAAATTCCGGAAATTTTTATCGTGTTCAAGTTTCACTGAAATTTCAGGACATCTTCCTTCATCTTTTTTTCATCATGTTGTCATTGAACAATCAAATATTCCATTGATTTTCTATTCACATGATCTGAAAATCAATAAAATACTTGATTTTTCTATTCAATTATTCTGTGAAAATTCAGAAAAATCAGGAAAATTTAGGGAACAATTGAAAATTTATGTCATTTTGTTTCTGAACATTCATGTTTCACTGAAAATTCAATCAAGTTGTGAAATTTCCATCTCACGTCCACTGAAAACTCATGAATTTCCGTCAATTCTACTTAAAACTTGAAATTTCATAACCATTTTGCTCTAAATTCGATTCAATGTCACTCTCATGAGATTTACTATAATATCTTCTATGAAATTTAACAAAATTTCTAACAGTGCAGGAGTTAAATGAATTTATTGACAATTTTAAGGTTCAACACGGGAATTTTTAACAGGTCAACATTTCAAAAGATTTCAATAATGTTTTCAAATATGTAATGTTCAATATATTTGAAAGCAGGACTACAAATTTTTACGAATTTTTCCCTTACGAAGTTTTTGTGTGAAAGAAAAAATCGAAAAACGGCGGGGATTCCCTCATTGTGCGACCACTTAAGGTTTAAACGAAAACAACTGGGAATTCGAGGAAATAATACTGCCATCCTCTAATAATGTAATAATTGTACTTTGTCATTCTAAGGATTGAGTTAATATTTCAATAAATTTATTGTTTTGAACAATGTTGTTTTTTTTAATAAAATGTTGACTATTTTCGGCGTTTATCTTCGGTCAACTGTAAATATTTCAGGAACAAAAGCGAGGTTTTGGAACACGTTCCAATTTCGATTGCATTCCAGAGGCCAGGAACGAAACGAAACTGTAACCTTCCAAGCTAGGAATGAAACTCGGAACGAAAGTCCTGGAACATTACACATCAAATGATCTTCAAGATTCAATGCAAGACGAGGAACATGATTACAAGGGTTAAACCTAGTCTTGTCGTCTGGGCTTGAGTGCCCTCGAAAGCCCCGAACTTTCGTTTCGAGTTTCGTTTCGTTAATAATAATAATAGTAATAATAAAATAAAAATATTATTATCATTTTATTATTATTATTATTATTATTATTATTACATTATTATATATATTTTTTTACTCGTAAATGAGATCGCTGATTATATTATTATTATTATTATTATTATTATTATTGTAATATTTTTCCATGGCGTTTCTTGGAACGAAACGCCAGAAATGACATTTCCGTTCCGTTTCAGAGTTTCGCGCCAAGTCCCTGATAAAATTTCGTCACAAGAAAACGTATGATTGTCAGTTTAGATCTAATTACTTGGTTTCAAAATAACGACTGTATGAAAAAAATAGTCGATGGGTAGAAACACGCAACGTTTATGATTTGCGATTGAATGACCGGCAATTTTCTATCATTTTTTCCGCCTACCCAAAATAACAATCGGAAGTATGACCGAAATTCTTGAGATAAAATATTTTTATCACACGACGGTCACTTTTTGATGAACTGACGGATTGAAAAACGTAATATCACCTCAGATCCCTGAAACCGAGGGAAATTTTCCAATCCCTGCACAATCTACGATACCTTTAGTGCTCTTACGATGCACAAGAACTTTCGATAATTACTCACCTCCTTAACAACGTGGGAACAAGTGAGAATTGTACCAGTATCACGATCCAGGACTATTCCACTGCCCCACTCGGCTCCACACCGCACGAGTACCACACTTTTATCTAACAGCTCTGCAATTCACGATAATTAATGCCTACCCTATCTGCATACCTCCACCTGATTATTCATTAAGGGGGTACTGAGGTACTAAGGTGCAATTTGAAAGTCTTCGGTTGATAAAAATAGTTATCGAGCGACTCTCGATATATCATGAGTTACCTAAAAAAGTGAGAAAAGTTTTAAATCCAATCCGAGTTACCCCGGAGCTTTTGAAATTCTTTTTTGTCAAATGTTCGTCAGATTCCGTAGAATGAAACTTAGTTTTTTTTCATTATCTCAAATTGATTGTTTTGATTTTCAGTTGATTTTTCCTCAACCCCGTTATTTCTTAGCATTAAGCACCTTTCATTTACTATGTTAATGTTCAACTATTCAAAATGGTTTTTAGATCCGGCATACAAAACCGAAAAAGATACTTTTCTCATGATCTAGCTACGCTTTATGCACTCGAAATTCACTTTACACACTCGTCCACAAAAACAACCACATTATTCCCACTACCATGCCGAAGAGTGAACTCGGCAGGTACCACAAAAAATGGGATGTGTTACACGTGCGTGTAAAAAGTGAAACTTTTCACACTAGTAACACAATATACTATTTTGACCCTTGGAAGGGTAGCACTGGACTTCGACGAGCGTTAAACCACCTCCCATGAGTCAAAAAACCCTTTTACGCACTCGTATCGAAATATACTATAATGTACACTTTTGTGAACACAGAATTCGGCAGGTATCACAAAAAATCGAATGTGTTACACGTGCGTGTGAAAAAGTGGATCTGTACGCAACTAATACAATAGAGGGGAGGGAGGGTAAAACGGACCAGGCCGGCGAAACGGACCACTGACAGAAAATTGATAATTTTTATGTCACACCGTACGATAAGTCAAGTTTAAAGCACGATGTAACATAAAATATTACAATTAAACAATTACAATATTGTAATTAATATTAAAATTTTTTTTTTTGCTTCTGAATGGAAGCAAAAACAAAAATTCAAAGTCATTTGTGATTTGAGGCGATTAGCAAATCTGATCAAATTGCGGTTGCAACGACATTTGTTGTCTATAAAACCCCAGTTACGGTTACGATCCAAGAAACTCACTTTTAATTCAACACATTCAGTGTTCCCGATTTCAAGGAAAGGCAAAAAAAAATAAAAATGACCAATTTCCTGTCAGTGGTTCGTTTTGCCACAGGGGTCCGTTTTGCCCTGCGGTCAATTTTGCCCTCCCGCTCCGTGTTAACCTTCCCTACTATTTTTGACCCGTGGGAGGTGTGCAGTGTTCAGCGAGGGTTAAAGAAAATTTTTCCCACGAGTGCCGAACCCTATTTGTCGTCACAACGTGTGAAAAGAGGAATTTTGCGCACGCGGAGCGTGCGTAAAATTTGACTTTACGCTCAAGTGATGAATAGTACATATCCATACTAGGCCGTGAGGAACTTTTCTGGCAAATATGAGGTTACAGGACGAGCCGGAGGCGAGTTCGGTAATCATATGAATTAAAAACGTTCTTCACGGCCGTGTATCGAACAATACTTTTACCGAGCGAAGCGAGGTTAACACTTAAGTGAGGGAATCCCCGTCAAACCATACGCAACCTATATGGCGCCACTGTAGAGCGAGTGAGATGCTAGAAAAGAGCGACCACTTAAGGGTTAAAATCGCGGTTTATCAGGCCCAGTGACGAAAAAAATGTTTATGTGCTTATTACTTCACGCCTGTATGTATTTTTTTTTGGCAAACTTTGATGGACATCAGCCTGATGTCTTGAATAAACAAATTGAATTGAATTCGGAAAAAGTTTACATCGGATGGAAATTGTAGTGTGAGGAGCATTTCCGAGCCAAAAACCCGAAAAACGATGTTTTTCGTAAAATGGGTTGGGTCCAAAATTTTTGTCACGTTTTTGGGTGTTCTATGATATATCGAGAATCGCTCAATAGCTATTTTCCTCATCCGATGACTTTCGAATTTCACCACGGTACCCCCTTAAAAAACAACTACAGGAAAAATAAACTTTCTTTACCAGTGAGACTGGTATTGCCATAACCCGTAACACAATTTTCGATGTTCTCGTGCTTCCTGAGTAGCTTCATCAGACAGGGAACGAGACGGGCAACAAGCGTGTAATCCACCCACTCACCCCGGCACCAGCTCAGGGGAGCAATCACCATCCCACATAAGAGTCTACTTCCGCTGAGGCAAATAAGAAAAATCGTAAGGAAAAGATTGAATAGAACAGAGCGCGATCATTAGATACTATTGACACAGAAATCAACTTGTCCTGGGAGAAAAGACGTATCTCGGAGAAATTATTTGGAATGAGGTATTTCAATGTTTCCATTCGAGAAGACATTACTCACAAGAACTTCGGCTAGATACAGGTTGACAAATTGTAGGTGCCGGGTCAATTAACCCTCGGTCCTCGTTATTGCATCGATCGCACGGAGAGAAATATTCAGTAATAATTACGGAACAATTCACGTAATCCGCAATGGGGAATCATTTTCCGGAAATTTTTATAGTTCAGTGAATTTTCAGGTTCATCCCCGAACAAAGTATGAAATTGTCACGTAATTTTTCCCGAAGAAGTAAAATTTTACAGAAACTTTCCGATTCTTGAACGTTCAACAATTTTTATGAAGTTGGGTAGTTATTTCTACGTTCCGTTCCGTAAAAGTTCTCAATCGTTGGGGAAAAATTACGGACCAACTTGTTGTCCCCACAGCGGTGAGTCATCAGACGAGTGGTCAATTTTTACGGAACAAATCGTAGAATTTACGTGGCGATTCGTACAATTCCAGCTACGACTCACCCTTTTTATTGAATTTTACTTCGCTCGCGGATTACATTTCGGAACGTAATTTTTACCTTTTTGTCTGGTAATTTTTATTGAATTTTTCTCTCCATGCATGCCTTCGGTAAATCGATCGCCTCGAAGTTCTAGAAGATTTTCATTCAACATTTCGGTTCAAATAAAAACAAGTGGATAATCGCATTTTCTGTATATGAGTATAGTTTATGTTGCTAACAAATTAGCAATATGCTTCCGCATGGATTCTCTATTTTTGAAATTTATTACGCTTATTTTTTATTGTTTTGAATAGTGACACCCATATGACTCTCTTATGATCCCTATATTCCCCTTTTATGAGCCTATATGACCCTCATATTGCCACATATGACCTCCATATGACTCCCGTATAACCCCATGTGATCCTCATATAACCCCATATAATCCTGTATCATCCCATATGACCCCATCATGACACCATATGACCCCAGATAACTTCCAAATGACCTCATGTACCCTCATATGACCCCATATAACTCATATATGACGCCCATATGACCTCCATATGACCTGAAGCTTCATATTGCTACTATGCAATTTAATAAATAGTTAGCATAGTTAGCATTTTCATCATCTTTGCACTTCATCGAGAAAGCATCAAAACAAACTTTTTAGGCCATGATGTCATTGATATGACTGTTAATTTTTCCAGTTTATCATGAAAAAAATGAAAAAAAAAATCTCAAACTATATGCCGTAGCTCAACAGTGATAGATGCGATCCGCATCATATTTTAATAGAATCAAGAGGGTATCAATACAAATTTTTTAAACCATGATTCAGTTCATTCCGATAACAATTCTTGGACTGAGCGATGAAAAATCGATTTTTGAAAAAATACCAATATTTCACAAACTCTATGAATAATTCAACTTTAATTGGTGTCGATGAATAGAGGCTATACCCATAACGTCTATATCCATGGAAAAATTCATGAAATTTCATCAAGAACTTATAAAGAAAACTGCGAAAAAAAAATTCAAAAAAAGTACACAGACACACATACAGACACCATCTAAAAATCGCATATTTAGACTTTTGAGGCCATATTTGTGGACGTCCGCATGAAAAGGGACCACTTTGGCACTATTGGAGTTATGTATATTCCCATAATCTTGAGCTGATTCTGAACATTTAGAGCCCAGAATGAACTTGATAGCGTAAAGAATGACGACGCTAAAGAAGATCGAAACAATAATTTAACATGGGTTTAAATGGGAGTTGGCAAGAGAAAAACGTGAATATCTCGGAAACTAGAATCGACAAAGTGCTCCCTTTCCATGCGGACGTGCACATTTAGTTACCCTGACACAAAATTTTGGAAACCTAATTTTGAACGATTGCAAAGCCTCCATTCGGAAAAATCGACAATGTCGAAAAAATGGAAAATTCGAAATGTCTTTTCGAATGAGTCTCACGATACACGTCTTTTCCTCTAGAGTCATCCTTACTTCGGTCTCCTGACGTACACTGGACCACCCTCGCACCCAGGAACGGCATTAGCGTCTGTCAGTATGACACAATCATGTGCACCGAGGACATTGCTCACTATTCCACGGGAGACTGAATCAATGAAGACGGGATTTCCAAATGGTGTTGATTCAATCAACATGTGAACTCCTCTTGCAGGGGTCTCGAGGGGCTCGCACACACGCAACAAGTGACTCAGGGACTGCTCTGCACTCCTCAGCGTCTCGGTTACAGTGAATTCCGCTTCTCCATCGTGCAAACGCACGAGTAAAAATATCGTCAACAGGTCTTTGTCTGTTTTCTTGGAATCCTCGTCGAAACTCCATCCGTGGAATAAATTCTCGAGTGTGTCAGAGAGCAGAGGACATCGCCAGGCGCCGCAGATTGTTCCACATGTCTCGCTGATTTTAGAATCCTCCACTGACGCCTCATTCGTCCTCAACGTTCTCGGACCCGTTCTTGACGTCACGCTAACTCTAACATGGGAATTTTTTTGGGGGATAGGAATGCATGTTAGGATTCCCGGTTTTAGGCCACGAATGAAGTGAAGGGTATCGTTATTTTTGTTTGAGCTTGTTGCGTAGAAGAGGCCACTCGTCAAAACCCAGGTGTCACTGATTTTTATTCCAGATGCGCCACTTACCTCACTGGAGCTTCGTTCGACGAAGGATATCGAGACGCTGGTCGACTCCATCTATTATTCCTCTATTATCTGGAAAAATGGAAAAACGATAGATGTAAACAAGTGGGCTACCGCCGGGTCGCTTTATTTGGGCTCAACAAGTGCGTTATTTTATCTACGAGACCGAACGCGCGCTACAACGCGCTGTAATCGTAACAATCATAATTGAAAATCTCAAAATTAAATTAATCATGAATTAAATTTGCCGCCTCAGACGACTGGAACCAATGAGGAATAAGCGTGACAGACTTGCGAGATATCGATAGTTATCGACTTTAAGTGTATGTTCTTTTTAGAATAGGAGTAGCGTATTGATGCCATTTCATTATGCCCCTTTTCCTAACAGATTCGATATTCCTTTTTTCAATTTATTGTTTAGAATCATTCTCATTAAAAAATGTAATACGACCGATGAGAATCAAACGTCCCAATTTATCAGCTGTCAAATTTTCATGTTGCAATAAATGATTTGCTCATGTTCTAATTCCTATGCACACCGAATAAGATTTTAATCATAATTACAATTCAATTCCTTCTAGAACACACTTTAGAGTGTGAATTTCTGGATTGCAATGTTCGTTGGTAAAAGTGCGTGTCCACACTGTTATCAATTTTTAGTTAGTTTAGTATTTCAATTAATCTGTTGTTTATCTCATCAATATAATTCCGTGCTCAGAATATGGTCATCCCGTGTTTTCAGCAACAAATTAAAAATTTAAACTTAATTTGGAGTCTCGTGTCACAGTTTCTTTTTATTCATATCCGAAATTTTGTATTTGGATATTAATTTTATTTGTTCAAAGTGAAAAAATCGATCATCATTTTCATTATATTGCATTCAGATTCTCCTGTCCTTAACGACAAAAATGTGAGATAATCTCATAATTCTAGCTAATAATTCTAATCAACTTTCTTCGAAGAAAACTTTAGTGAACACAATATTAAGAAAATGGAATTATTCTGTTTCTCTGACAATTATGATTCGTTTATTCATGTTTTAGAGAATGGTATTCAATTGTCTCTTGTTTGTTAGGCGGGTTTCATGAAAATTCGACGCAAGACGCATTTTCGATTCGCGATATTGCCCATGCTTTTTTTTTAAAGGACTAGTGTGTTTGATGGCCCGCCTTCTGACGGTCGAATTCCCTTGATTCTGAAATCGACATTTTGATGATAAATAATAGAGAATTCTAGAATTCTCTGAAATATTATCGAAGTACTTCAAGAGTGCATCGATGATGAAATGGTCTCGAGCGTAAGCTCTCAAATCGAGAAGTTTGCATAAATTTTTACGGTAATTTTACGATAAAATCGCGGTAAAGTTAATGGAAACATTCCCTCGCAGAAAACTGCTGAATAGGCCTGGAGTTTTTAAAATACTTGTTTAGACCCTTCCAAGATTTTCCCAAGCGTTAGCTTCTGATGTGTTTTCTAAGGTAGGGGAGGGTGTGCCTGTACCGCTCACCTCAGGGGAAATGCCAGTTTTATATTTTATATTTCAACTTGAGTATAAAAAACGTATTTGTGAGACTTCTTCAACTATTGAACTCGTTATTCTCGAAGTGTAGACGCCTCATTCTCCTTATAATCCACAAAATTCATTGAAAATAAAAGAGAGAGCCTATTGAGCGGTACTACCCGCCATCGGGTAATACCGCTCGGCACGAGATTCCAATGCCGCTCATAGGGTTTCGCGTGTATCGCTCGTGCCGCAACCTAACCTGTACTCGAGTGCTGTCGAGCGACTACGTGGCCGATCCTATGAGCGGTATTACCGGCTCCGCTCGGCGTCAACAAAATTGTTGATAATTATTGACATGAATGGAGTTTTGAGTTCGAATTGGTCTCAAATTTCGTGTGAAAGTACCACGAATCGAATAACCACAGTTTAATATGAGAATTCAGCGTTTAAAACTATCAAAAACCTTAATTACAAGCTACCATTTTGCACTGTAAAGACCTCAAAACTTCATTACGTGTTTTTTCATATTTAAAGTGGTAAATAAAGTGAAATTTTTCCGACAATCACCTCCTATCATCAAATCCTTCATGATCAGGAACAGAAAGAAATTTTTAAGTTGATGGTTGTGGAGATAATCGGGTGAGCGGTATTACCCGCTGAGCGGTACAGACACACCCTCCCCTATATCCCTAGAAAACACATTTTTCTTAAGACTGTCCCCATGTTTTTCATAGATAATATTTATAAGTCTCCAGCTATCGAAAAAAATCCAAGATGAATTGATGCTCAAATATGTATCTAATTTAATTTTTTGTTTAGAGAAATTTCACGTTTTTTTTTCTTGGGGACGAATGAAAAATATTCATAAGAAAAATGCTCCAGTGGAAAAATTTTCCGGGGGATTTTTCACTGGGAAAAAAAATCCGAAAACCTTTCGTCGTCGGGCCAGCAGCCGAAAAAAAGAAAGCAGCCGTCTAACCAAGCGAAGCGAGGTTAGACCCACGATTTATGGGGCGTAATGATAAAAATAGTATCAGTGGTTGGCCAGTCCTCGCCTTCGGCTCGGACACCAACTCCGTGCGAGTAAAAAACCCCATGGCACTCGCCCTGAACAATATATTTCCGTAGTGATTTTCACTTTTACGAGTTTGGGGAAAGGCCAGCACCAATCCCCGGACGAGGAACAGTGAAGGTCAGTCCAGAAAAAATTACTGCGTTCGTCATAAGAATCGATTGTGATGAAAATCTCATTTTCGAAAAAAAAAACAACTCAAATCGTTCTACCACTTGGCTACTGAATTCATTTGTCAAATAGCAAAAATATCAGCGATAGAGCTCTGCAAAGGAGACTGGAGCCGCAGTGGAATCCACGAGTCGAAGTAAAAAAGCGAAGATAAACATCCGAGACATTAATCAACACGGATGATACACCACGGATGATTAAATTGAGGTGTGACGAACGTTCAATTGATCGTACAAAAACATGTGTTGAATTAACTCTGCATCGATGGGAGTATAATTGATGAGGCCATAACCATCATTTAATTTTCCTCATTTTTCCCGATATAGAGATCATAAAATATCGATTTTTGTCAGTGGAGCAGGGACTTGAATGGTTATACGTCACCACTGTTCTATTTTCATCAATTAGAAATAAATTAAAACAGATGGGAAAGAGAATCGAGAAAAAAAATTGAGTGGAAAATAAGCTGAGTCACGGAGTGATGTTGTTAATAGCTGGAGGATTTTGCATTTTTGCTGATGATGCAGGCACGAATCTTCTCGGAAGCTGGAGTCTGGTGATTTTGAGCGAATAAAAAAAATGTGATGCACGCGATACACTTTGTAGTATACCCAATCGTATGAGTCAGTGGTGTTATGTGATGCAAGTGGATGAGACGAGTGGATGAAAAATGAGAGCAATAGTTGCACCAGCGTATGCGGAATGATTTTTCCACTCGTCATGATCAATATCGCGAGGAATCAGGGAATTCCGCGATGCGGGAAACAGATTTATTGGATACATAGTAATATGATTTGCCAATTCCTCATCACTTTATTCATTAGGTCGTTAGAGGTAATCAATGGATTATTTATACTTCAGATGATAATAAAATGCTCTTGTGAGTTGTCATTTCAACGACTTTTTTATGGTTATCCAGCGAATTCTTTGCCCCCTCTTGGTGAGTCGTAGAGAACCAGTCTATAATTATCTCGGGTTATTCGAACGTAATTATTTCATGAAGTTGCATATACGTCAGCATTTGTATTGCTAATTTTACGTGATTATCGACACTACTTGGGGCTATTCCGATACACTGTTAGGGAATTATCATTAAATGTTCAACAATAACTAATTCATATGACAGTTTTATGTGTGTTCTCGTTGAGCAGTCAGTTGATTTGTGGAGTATTCAATGGGATTCCATTTTTCAAATTCACAGGGGAATGGAAATCATTGAGAATTATGAATATTCAGGGAAGGATTTGTGCTGAATTCGCAATGTATTCAAACTTCAATTGAACATGATTTTTAATTTTCGGAATCACTTGAAAGAATTCAAGCTGTTATTAAAATTCGATCGTTAGTTTAACATTTTAAGAAATGAAATTTTGTTCAATTTGTGGGGTAAATGGGGGTACATCGATTTTGAATCAAATTTTAATTTATAATATTGAAAATTCACAGACAACGAAAACTTCACGGTTAAAATTCTTCGTTTGAATTTTCCGTACCAAATTCCGGAAATTTTTATCGTGTTCAAGTCCCACTGAAATTTCAGGAAATTTTGCCATTGAAAAATTAAATATTTCATTTACTTTCTGTTCAAACGATCTGGAAATCGATAAAATACTTGATTTTTCAGTTCAATTATTCTGTGAAAAATTCTGAAAAATCAGGAAAGTTCAGGTCATTTTGTTTCTGACTATTCATGTTCCACTGAAAATTTATGAATTCCCGTGAATTCTGCTTCAAGCTTGAAATTTCTTGACCATTTTTTCCTTAAATCCGATTCAATGTCACTCTCATGAGATTTACTATAATATTTTCCATGAAATTTCAAAAAAATTTCATGCCCTATATCACCAGAAATTTTGCAGAAGCAACTAACTACACAGATGTAAACGACATATATAAATACTTAAAAGACTGTATACTGCACATTCAGATAATTTAACCGAAAATAAGGCAATCTAAAATTCTGAATATGAACAGCGATGGCCATCAATCTTTCGATTCTTCCATATTAAAAGAATTTCCGACTTACATTGATCAAGGTTTAAATATACTAATCGAAATTAAAAATCGTAAAATAATTAATAATCTAAATTTCCAATTGATAATGAATTAAATATTTAAAAAATGGAACTATAACTTTTCTGTTAAGTAGATAATATTAAATTTCTTATAAGAGATTTCTGATTATCCAAATAATCGTTAATCTTCCTAACTCAATTACTGATTAATGAATAATAATTCAAAATTTGACTATTTAAATTGATGATTAATTCAATAATTGAAATGTAAAAGTGATATTACGATACGGACAACTTAATAATTTAACAG